TGGAATCAAAGTTGGATTCCTTTTGGGAGTCTGTGGGAGTTTCTTGAACACAGCTGTGCTAGCTGGAGAGCCTGCAATCAGGATTGAAAATCTCAGGGTGAGACTTTTTGCTCAACTCTTTCTTTGCTATTTTTATTCTACTGAGCATGAAATAATTTAATAAAAATATTTCTACATTAGCTATGTGGAGATAAATCAGTGGCAATACTGAAGCCTTCAGGATCCCTGATTTACCCATCTGCAAACAAATTGGTGAAAATGGTCCAGAGGCTCTTGGGTACATTTGACCTGGTGGTCATTGACTGCAGTCATGTCATGGAAGTTGACTACACAGTCATTGATTGTATGCTGAGTAATTTTGGGAAGCTGCAGAAAGTCTATTTTGTGAATGTCACTGAAGTGTTGTTTGCCGGTTTGGCTCAACAGACTGAGTTCATGATATTCAGGGACAAGGATGAGGACTGGATTCAAAGGGGTGAGTTAAAAATTTCAAAGTACTCTTTCATTCACTTCTTTTTTTTTTCTTCTGGGCCAATGACCAGATTCCTTCTTCCACATGATCAAAAATACATAATGATCAAGAATTACAGAAATATTCATTCTACAATTTGAAATATGATATTTCTTTGAATCTCAAAGAGAAAATCATTTTCCAGATGGCCATCATACTGAAAATGTTGAATTCAACACCCTTGAACTAAGGAATTTCATTGAAATCTCACATGTTGGCTACAATTGGATCTGGAAATAAATTGAGAAATCCACCTTTATTTTAGTATGGAAGCATTTTCCCATTGATGAGTTTCCAGAAGATTAACATCAAATAGGAAGGATACAAAAATGTTGCACTATTGTGTTAAAAAAAATTGATTAGAAGACATAATCATCTGCTTTTTATTCACATTTGAGGTTGCAATTGAAATATTCCTAAAGCAGAAAGATGGGAACCAGTGTTATAAAGGTGCTGTATTTGCAAAATCTGAAGGATAATGACAATGTTCAAGAATAAAATTGCATGATTATCCATTTGCATGCTTGCAAATTTTTAGACAGGAGTACAACAATAAACTCTTTTAATAACTCCCATGGTTCCTCTTCAATAAAAATCAAATGGGTCACACAATTAAAAATTCAATTATTTAATTTTTTATTTTATTGAAGAATATTAATTAAATAAGGAATATATATATCCAAAGTAGTACAGCATATCAATTAATATTCTTGAAAAAACTAAATGAAATTACAGTTTTCAAAAATCATGTCTTTTAAACTGAAATCTATGTTCAGTATATTTTTATGAATACAGATGTGAACCACTGTTGTATTCACAAAATATTGAGCTTTTGAATCTGGTGAATAATGGCAATGTTTAGGAATAAAATTGCATGATTATATTTGCATGCTTTCAAATTTTTAGAAATGAGTACAATAAGAAACACATTTGAAAAATCTCCATGGATTCTCTTCAACAAAAATCAAATGCAGTACGTCATGATTTTCAACCAAACATGTTTTTCAAAGAATTCGCTTTTCAACCATAACCTCATCGGAAAATTTCATTAAAGAAATACAACTTCTTGTTTCCAATTTGTTTCCGCAGTTTCTGAAACTTTGGGAGGAGGGATCAAAGCAGAACACCAACCAGTCACATCATCATCATCTGCACACTCAAGTTCATCTCAGGCTCATTAATTCGGGCTGAAATATGAAACCGATTTGCTGATGATGTTGCATCTTTTTTTCCTCCCCAAAAAAGCTCGTCAGCGCTTATTTAAAAAATAATAATTCTCTCCATTCGTTTGGAAACGACGAGTCGTTCTTGTATATTATTGGGGAGGAAAAATAAATTTGCTGTGAAGTTGTTTTATTTTCCGGGAAAGAAGAAACATTTAAGTGCTTGGATGCGTTATATGTGAATATGTCTTTCACGCGAGCCTTTTTAGCAGTGGATTCGAACGTACAGGCCAGAAATTTATTTTTATTTTGAAAAAAAAACTCGTCTTCATTCATTTCCAATCGTTGAAAAATGTGGGTCTAAATTTTACATCATAAATAAGGATGCAAAATTATTTATTGCAGGGTTGGACGAAATGCTACACAAATTCTCTTTAGAATCAATATTATGATGCAAACTCTTCATCTGAGAAAATTTTGTAAATACACCCCGAAATTAAAAAAAAAATTAATAAACTGAAGTTAAATATACAGTAACTATATTTTACGCATGCAGGTACTTTTACAAGATATTTTTAATTTATATTAATTTAATTATTGATTTCGGGGATGGAGGTAACGTACCAGGAAATTTTATTATTTAATCACAAAGAAAAGAAGTTCCGCAACGAAAGATTTTTTTTTCTGGCCATAAAAGAAAAATTCTGAGACATCCAGGTCTTGAATTTTATATTAATATCTTGGTCTTATCGCATTACGAGGCATTGCTTATCTTTTGCCTTGTGTTCGCGCTTCTTACGAGAATTACTTTTCTATAAGATAAAGACAAGAGATAAACGAAGCCACCACAAAGTCAAGTGCTCAATGAAACAGTTTGTGACACACTCACTCAGTCCTTTGTTGAGATACACTTTGAGAAGGTGCTGTGATGCATGCGATCCTGGCGAATTAAAAAAATCCTATTTAGTGGCATTTTAGGTCATTACAGTACCTGAATGGAATATTCGGTGCACATTTCACAGACAGTTTGAATTCTGTTGATGTCAATTGAAAAAAAGGGTCCTGGCAGAAATGCTTTAGAAAAACAAGGCTAAAATATAATTTAATACTTATGGGATTTTCCAAAGTTCTACTGCGAATAATTTACAACTTTTTGGTGAGATTTCCGCAGTTTTTGTTCCAATTATTGGAATTATGAATTTTTCTAATTCGTGATATTCTTGGATAATTTTTTTTAGCAGGGTTAAACTTCTAAAAACCCCATTTGGGAATGAATTAATTTTTTTGCCCAGACCCACTACAAAAGATAAAAACTTTCTTACATCCTCACAAGATACCATATTTACTCAAGTACCATGTGCCCTTGAGTAAGGCGCGCACAGGGGTTTTTCAGTTGAAAATTTTGCAAAAATCTTATCCCCGAATAAGATGCGCACCCCAATTTTTAGTGAATCTAAAACCATAAAATTTCAAAAATAAAAACAAAAAATTTGACTTCAGGCGTGAATTGAACAAAAATCTGATGAATTTTCAACTTTTTCAATACAAAAATGTTTTCTTTTTATATTTTTTCCAAATTTCTCCATTATAATTGAGTATAATGCAAACATAACTTTGTAAAACTTCTTGAAAATTTTGTACCTGCTTATGACACGCACCCCTTTTTTTCTTCTGAAATTTGGGAAAAAAGGTGCGTGTGGTACTTGAGTAAATACGGTATTTGTTCCGAACCTCTTTTTTGATGCACAAAGAAAATTTAATTTTCAGAATGCGAAACTATCAATTATTTTTGCTACATTTACTTGAAAAAAAAAAATTCTGGATGAACCAGTGAGTGAAGAGAGAAAAGAAGAAAATGAATGGAGCTGCTTGGTCAGTGGCAGAGGACCTGCACTCACTCATTCTTATAGATCCCAATTCATCAAGTCCTTCAGCAACAACCCCAGGGATAATCAGTCATCAACAGCCTGCTTTCAGAAATAATGTGCCAGTTGCAAGTTCTTTGGCATCCAGCAGTGGACTTCCATATTCTGCAAACAGCTCCAGAGTCTCCACACCAGTGTTGCCAACTTCTGGCAGCATTTCTGGTTCTTCTTATCCAAGGAAGGCGAAAATCTCTCTTGATACGTTCCCAGCTGACGTCCTGAGGGTAAGAGAGAGATAAATGAGAGACAGTCATCATCAATGATCTCGTTACATTGATTATTAATCACTGTTTAGGGAGAATAACACTTTTGTGAATTTTGCTTATCATACAATAGTGAAACAATTATAAACTTGACTATACACAGGACTGCACAAAGTTGAAATTAAAAGAATGCATCATATGCTGATGAATCCAATTTTTTGATGCAAATAAATGATCTTGAGCATGATGCAATTCGAATAAAGACAGCCAAAATCAATCAATTCTTCACATTGATTATTAAATATGATTCATGAAAAATCGATTTGAAATGTTTGTGAATGTTGTTTGTCATGCAATAGACAAATAATCAGTAGCTTGACATATATCATGCAAAACTAAATGAAAAATGCATCATATGCTGATGATTCAAATTTTTCAAATGTTAATGAATTTTTTAAGCATGACACAATTCTAATATAGGAACATAATTTCATGAAATGTCAGAAAAGTCAGGTGAGAAAGTGTAAAATTTTTTAAAACTGTGTGTGATACACTGCACAGCAAATGGATTCACTCAGAGGACTGGGAATTTTAACGGATGTGGATTTGTTGGTGGAGTCAGAAACTTTCAGTGCTCACAGGATTGTTTTAGCTGCAGCATCACCTTATTTCAAGGTACGTCAAAAGTATCAAAAATATGATCATGTGGCTTGATTCCTGAAATATACCAAGCAGAAAACCAGTCAATGCCACACTGCCATAAGAGAAAAACAAGTTTTGGTACCTATTTTGATATTTTTCACATCTAAAGCATGACTACCCTGAATGAAACTAGCCCATGGGAAATGTCAAAATGGTGCACTAAAGACCCACAGCAATTAACAAAATTTGAGCGCCATGAACAATTCCTCAGTTAACAAATCGAAATTTAATTTGAACAAACATAAAAGGAGGGTAGACTTTTATTGCAAAAAGAAATATCAGCAAAATATTTTACATGAAAATCTTTCTAGTGAACACATTTTTTATTTGAAGAAAGTTTCAGTTAACAAGCCTTTTCAGATAAGAAACTTCCCCATTGAGAAACTTTCCAGTTAGGAAACTTTCCAGTTATGAAACTTTCCAGTTTTGAAACTTTCCAGGTATGAAACTTTCCAGTTATGAAACTTTCCAGTTTTGAAACTTTCCAGGTATGAAACTTTCCAGTTATGAAACTTTCCAGTTTTGAAACTTTCCAGTTATGAAACTTTCCAGTTATGAAACTTTCCAGTTATGAAACTTTCCAGTTTTGAAACTTTCCAGGTATGAAACTTTCCAGTTATGAAACTTTCCAGTTATGAAACTTTCCAGCTATGAAACTTTCCAGTTATGAAACTTTCCAGTTATGAAACTTTCCAGTTATGAAACTTTCTAGTTATGAAACTTTTTAATAGAAAAACATTTCAGTTATGACACTTTCCAGCTGAGAAACTCCTCTATCAGAAATATTGATGGCAATTGAAAAAATGTTCTGAGGAAGAGACTTCCTATAGGCCAGGACTGTTCATACAGCAATTATGATAGCCTGTGAAGAGACTTTGCAATGAAGAAAACTGCCAGTTGAAACCATTCCAGTTGAGAAGCTTTCCAGTTGAGAAACTCTTTGATGAAAAACACTGATGGCCATAGAAGAAACTTCCTGGTGAAGAAAATTTCCAGTAAAAAACCTCTTTAGTAATCAATGCCAATTGAAAAGATGCAGGATAGTTAAACAGCAGGGCTGTTACTGACATTTTCAGCACAACTTACTCATTTCCTTTCCCATATACTGTACTGTATTAGGCCATGTTTGTAGAAGGAAGGGAACAATGTGACCACGGGAAGCTAGTGCTCAAGGGAATCTCTGGCAGTGTGATGGCTGACTTCCTCAGGTGCCTCTACACCGGCGAAGTGTTCCTCAGTCAAAGCACTGTGTGTCAACTCTTGTCAGCTGCTGTCATGTTCCAAGTTGCCCCCTTGCTGGATGCTTGTTGCACTTACTTAACCTCACTCTTGGACTCTGGAAATGCCATTGGAATCGCTGCTTTTGCGCAGAGACACGGATGCGAAATACTCCACCGACATGCTGTGCAATTCATTGAGCGCCACTTTGTTGCAGTTATGTCTGAAAAATAAAATAAACTTATAAATTGCAGTGGTAACTCGGTTAACAGACTTTCTGTTGAACAGATCAAGTCCTTTACCTGGTCAGCAATTCAAATATGGACACAATGGCTCATCCATTCCAGGTCTTTTTGAAATATCTTGAATACATGTGTTAATATAGGGTATAATGAATTGAAGAGAAAAATATCAAGCTCAATCAATAATATCAAAAAAGTCCATCCATTCAAAAAATGAGACAGCAGCCATATTCCTCTCACCAATTTTAAATTTATTACAAGGACAATGCATTTATGCTGTCTATTATCCAAAGCATGGTCCACTACCTGCAGCAAAAAATGGACTGCAGTGTCAATTCTCTGTGAAAAAGTACATTATCTGGGGTATTATTGAAATCTTCAAGAGGAGATGAAGGTTGAATGTTGTTGAGAAGCATACAGTCAAAATAAATGTGGAATCATGATGAATCCAGAGATGCATGAGCTTCTTCCAAAGTTCAGAAAAAATATAACATTCATTGTTTGTGTGTTTTATAATTACTGTGATTTAATTGTATTTTTGCCAGTTCTCAAACAATTATAAAATAAATATGAAGACATGAAATGATCCCCAGTGCAGTCCAAATGTTGCCTTGAAGTGCAATGCAGATTGTGTCTGTGCTCAAAAATCAGAAACCTCTGGTGAGCAGTTTCAAAATCATACACATGATGCAAAAACATGGAATCATAGTGAAGTTCAAACCTTTAATATTGCAACATCAGAAAAAAATATAGTTTGAATTATTTTGTTTTCAGGTCAGCCACTCCATGGAGTTTCTAGAGTTACCCTCACCTAGAGTAATGGAGATAATCAAGAGCAGCAACTTGAACATAGCAGAGGAGCGCATAGTTTATGATGCAGTCATGAGATGGGTGAAGCATGATGAAGGAACAAGAACTGAGAAGGCAACAGCTCTTATGAAGGTACAGTATTTCTCTTCCCTATGAAAATTATCCGGTACTTTCCTGTTATCTCAGTACCTCATTCCTAGACCGCACTACCATCCAGACAAATCTTTGGGACAAGTTCATTATCACAACGACCTACCAGAAACTGTGAATTTTATTTTTCTGCATTCTGCTGAAACTGATTTTGGGAGACAGTTAGGTAAAGTTAGGTTAGGTCAGGTTATGTTAGTTACAAATATCTTTTAATTAACATAACCTGGCCTAACCTAAATTTACCTAACCGCCTCCCAAAATCAGTTTCAGCAGAAACCCAAAGAAAGCAGAAACTGATTTTGAGAGGCGGTTAGGTGAAATTAGGTTAGGTCAGGTTAAATTGGTCAGAGGGGAGGTACAGAGATAACAGGAAAGTAGGTACTGAGATAACAGGAAAGTACCAATTATCCTCTGAGAATTGTCATTCTTCAGTGGAATCTTGGTTAAAGAAATATTTAAGAAAATTGTCACAGCAAATATTGTCACAGTATATCTTCCCAGCCACCAATCCAAGTTCAGCTCATCTTGTTTAAAATGGTGTGAAGCCAGACACTGTTATAAAGTGAGCTGATCCACTGTGAGATAATCAGCCATCTCAAACATTTGAAAAAATTAGCTTGCAAAGGTAGTCACAAGAAAAAAGTTATATGGACTAAACATTAGACTATCTTCTGTTTATATGAGAACTGCCAGCAAATCCTCAAAATATTTATTGGGTTAAAAATGCTTACTCGTTGATTTTAAAATGTTGAAATTCAATATAAAGTATAACATATTGTTGGGTCCTGATGATATTCTGTTGTGTAGAGCAGTGTTCCTCAACCTTTTTGCAGACTGGCAAATTTCCACAAAATGTTTGGAATACTGGCAACTTTGCATAAATGTTTGCAAACACAAAACATTGACTCTCAAGACTTATTTATGGCAGATTTTTTAAAATTTCCACAAATTTTTGCAAAAATCAAGTTAAGATCCAATGATACAGCTATAGTGGAATGTCTCCAAAGATTAGAAAGGTGGGAATGTAGAAAAAGTTTCTTGGCATTTAAATTTAACATAATTTATTTCAGCAGGTGAGAATATGTCTGAAATGCATATCAGAAGAAAGGAAACAAAGCAAACTTTTGTTTTTCACCAGATAATTCAAACTACCATTGCCTTTCCAAAATTTCACATAAAGATATGACTTCATTATTGCTACTTCTGATCAATTTATTCTGTTGAAGACAATTTCCTGTGGACCACAGGTTTGGAAACATTGGTATAGAGAATATAACTTCAGATTTCAAAGGACGTATTTGAAAAGAAAGTTTTGTCTGATTCTAAGTAAGACTAGTGGGAAATGTTGTTATCTACAGCACTATTTTGTAATTTTTCATTTTTCAGGGAGTCCGCTGTGAACACTTGCCAGAAACCTTTCTACAAGACCAACTAAAGCGATGTGCTTTGATCCAAAAAAGTCCCAGCTTAACTGGCTATTTGGCTAGAGTTTACCAGGACATCAGGGACCAGCACAAGCATGGTAGTACAGAAAGTGCTTCCTCACACCTGATTTATGTTGTGGGAGGCTACCAGAAGTCTGCAGTGAATGTGGTTGAGTGCTGGAACCCCAAGCATCCCAATTGGGAGTCTGTAGAGGGACAGTGGAACCCTTGTTCCCCTTTGCCAGAGCCCAGGTCAGGCTGTGGAGCTGCTATTTTGCAAGCAAGTTTTTCTCATATCGTTTTTCCCAAAATATTTTTTTAAACAAAAACTTTTTACCAAAAAAGACAGAAATTAAACCTGGTCAGAGTACATTCAAATCATGTACTTCTTGTAATCCAGCAAGTTGCATCATGTATTGCCTACCAATTTTTCAAAATTCATCTTTAAAGAAGTTAGGAAGCTTGATTCAGGATAAATAGGAAGTCAATTTACTTTCTTGTTAATTATTTTCAGTCATGCTATGAGCAATGTAGTAACAAGAACCTAATTTTTTGAAAAAAAAAGCTGGAAGCAAGGAAAAAATTTTGTTTGAACTTGAAAGAGAAAAACTTTGTTTGAACTTCAAAATTCAAAAAATTTAAAGCTACAAAATATAATGCTATCTTGAATCAATTTCAACTTGCTGGGCTCTCAGATGGAGCATACTGTTATTTCATTTTTTTTTAATGTGAGGTAATTTTAATTTCAAATAGGGAATACTTTATGTTGCTGGAGGAAGGATTTACAAGCCATCAGCTGGCTCCTATGTGGACACAGATCGCTGTGATGCTTATGATCCCTATACTAAGAAGTGGACCAG